AATAATAAATGTAATAGGAATAATTATTATTACTATTCTATAAAACATAGGGAAAGCAAAAGAGAAATACACCCAAGCCAATGTAACTTAATTTGCTCTACTCTTTTACATAGCGAACTTATTAAAATCACTGCCTTACTTATATGCATCAATTGCCAACAACACTAGAAAATTGAAAGCACTACTGCTCAAAACTACAATGTGTGTAATTATGGAAAATAATCTAAGTTTTATGATATCTGCAGAGGACAGGGTAACTGTCAAATCCTTTATGAAAGCAAGTGCAAGCATTAATTGCCTATCTGCTGAGACTGGCAGAGCCACTGCTAAGTAGTACTTATATAATATGCATTTCCTCTAAAATGGATGCCTAATTGCTTAGTTATTCTAAATTGCAGAATGAAAAACAAAGGAGCAGTTTTGGTCATGTGGGTAAACAAGGGATTTCTAAAAGCTAATTATCTCCTTATTTAATAGACTAAAGTTGCACCAAATGAGACATTTAAGTCTAATAAATAATAGAGAAATTGTAAGCTTAAAGATTAAAATATAGGAGCTGCTCATATACTTTTTATTGCTCCATTAAATAAGCTCTTATTTACTTCCTCCACAAAACATAATTACACAACACTGAGTCCATTTGAAGGCCATTCTGATGTGCTATTTGAAAATTATATGAATCAACTTACATACTCAGGAAGTCTTAAGACATAATATTTGAACTCTATTATCAAATGCCCTATTTGCTTCCATGATTAAGAAACCAAAATGGAGTTTGTGCAAAGTCGCATATAATCACATAAAATCCCTACTCCCTTGTCATTCTTAGAAATGATTATAAATGACAGTTACACATCCTAAGATGATAAACTATCTAACTAGTGCAATACTAGAATGAATCCTACCAGTTTTTCAAGCAGATGTTTAATGTTTTAGCTATTTTCTAAATTAAAGTAATTCAAATTTAAACTTTAACTTTACAAAATGTATCCAAAATTCACAAAGTAAATAAAGTCATTAAGAGAATATAATTTGTTTATTTAATGTAATACCAAATAACTCAACAGAAATAATCAGAACCATATATGTGAACATTTAAGAGAGCTCCAGGCTCATCATTGTTAATGAAAACAAAAACAAAAACAAAAGGCCTTTTAATAGGGTAACATAAGATTCTGTGCTTTTTTAGTTGTGCTGCTCATAGATTTTTAATACTTTATTTTTATTCTTGGGGAAGTTTAGCCCACTATTTCATCTTTATTTTTATTCTATTAACAAAACCACATAGCAAAATGCTGGTGGTAATAAATAATAACAGATTTGGAAATAGTTGCCTATTCTCTTGCCAAGGGCACACAATGATTTATGATGAATAAGAAAGAACAGGGATTTAATTTACTCCACTACCTGAGGTAGTGATACAAGAATTTGTAAATCTGTAAAGAAAAAAATACTCAGTTTTTATTTGTATGCTAGAAACGTTAAACTCATGAAAATATACAGGAGGAAACTTCCTGTGGGTCAACGGCAGACTTGAGTGAAGATATTTCTCTTCCTCTGTCACTCAGAGATGTGTGGCCTACATACAAAAATAAGACAAAATAAAAAGTTCTTGGTTCAGAGATGTAACAAATACTTAATGCAAATTCAAAAATTTAGCCTTCCAATTTTTTTTTTTTAATTCTAGGAAAGCTAGAAAAAGATTTCTATAGTATGGAGTAATATGTTCTGCACTAAAATGTAACCTGCAATGAAAAATTATACAAAGATTTATTAGGTGAGTCTCACAATAAGATATTTTAAAAGTACTAATACATATAGCATGGGATATAAATATGAAACTGTTTAGTCTAAAAAAATGATTATAAATCCTACCAATTCCTGATGATTTTTATCATCCAATATTTTCAATAAGGAAACGTACTATTTATTAATATCCTCTCAGTTGGCTAATAGCAAACTTCGTCTCTATCACTACCTTGCAGTCTCCATCTCATTATCCTATCTTGTTATACTGCATATAAAATATCTGCAATTGTCTTACATATTTTGCTGTCTGAATCATTACCATTTTAATCTTCAATTCAACAGAGACCATATTTATTCTCATTTATCACTATAATCATGGCTGAGGAAAAGGGAGAAAACAAAACAAACCAAAAAAAAAAAAAAAACCCTGTTGATAAATAAAAGAAATAATAAAAAGTGCCCTGGGTATTAAATTTTTGGCTACACCAATAAAATAATAGAAGAAAAGCCAGAAAACACATTTTTATCATAAAACACTGTCTTAATTTGTCAACACGATCAGGAACACACCTTAGATTAGAAGGTTGCAACAGCGACTCACATATGGAGGGGACAGGGGGGTCTGGACCCAGGGAGGCTTCTCATTAGCCACAGGACAAAAGCTAGGCAGAAACCACAGGGACTGGGGTGCACAATGGGGTACAACCCATAATTGCTCCTGGAGTGACTGCAGCCCTCATGTAGACAGCACCCCACTGGCTGATTCACCCATGAGGAGGATAGCATACCACAGCATATACCTGCACAAAGTGGCGTGGAAACAAAGGCGGACCTAGCAGTGACTATCCTCTGCGGTCTCTGCTGGGTTCCAACACAACAAAGTCTGGAAAAGAAACCACTTATCCAAATACAAAGAGAAATTTCTTGGACTTATTTCTCTCTTTTGTTGGTTCATTTTTTTCTTTAATAATTTGGGCCTATTTACCCTTTCTTTTGTTCTTCATTCTATTTTTTTCCAACTGTTCTTTTGTTATTTCTACTGATTACATTAACCTGCATTTATTCGTTAATTGGAAGTATTTTATTTTTATTAGTTGATGTTTGCATCACATAATGATTATACTGTGTGCAGTTGGTACGTGGACAGAACATCTCCATTCCCATCCCTTTTACCTCTTCTCCTGCCCCTTTCCTCCTCCCTTATCTCCTTCCCTTTTGAAAAAGATCTCCCCACTTCCTATAGCTATCATTTATTTTGTTCTTATTTATATTTTCTCATACAGAAGATCACAGGCAATGTTTAAGCTTATGTGTAATTTATTTCACTTACCATTATGGTCTCAAGATGCATCCATTTTCCTACTAATGACTAAAATTTACCTTTATAGTAGAGTAGTTCTCTCACTTTTTTCTCCTCCTCATCTTTCTTTTCTATACAAAGTGACGTGGAAACAAAGGCGGACCTAGCAGAGACTATCCTCTGCGGTCTCTGCTGGGTTCCAACACAACAAAGTCTGGAAATTTGTTTTTCAAATTTTATTTCTTCAGTTTTCTATTTTCCCCTTCCTATGTCTCATTTTTATTTTTACACTTTCTTTTTACGTGTTTAGTTGACTCTGCTATTTCTCTACGCTATTACTGCTGAATTCTTTTCTACTACTAATGCTGGTATAGTTGCTACATTTGGTATTTACTATACAACAATATTTGACTTATATTTGTGCCAATATTATTATTGCAGAGCACTTTTCTACTGTTCAGCACGCTAATGTCATGTTTTGTATTGGTTCTTAGAGGATGTCAATATTCTATTTTTTTATTTTTATATATTTAGCACAGGGTCTAAAGGGTCTCATTACACAAATCAGACTCAGTGATTCTTCTGTTTTCAGCCTCCCAAGCACTGGGATTGCAGACACCATGCCCAATCTTAATGTCCTTCTTGGGGCACTCCGGGCCAGGGCTGGAATAGCACTCTAGGATCAAATCCAGTCCCTGGGCCTGCCTAAGCAGGCATTTTAGTCCACTGAGCTATGTGGCCTGCCCAGGAAAAAACAATTAAAAAAAAAAAAAAGGAAATGGAAGAACCAGCAAGATAGCGCAGCAGACTAAGCACTTACTTAGACAAACACAGGGAATGGGGTTCCATCCCAGCCAGCCCCACCCTAGGCGCTGTGAGCTGGGCCACTGAGTCCAGGGGTGGTGGTGCATACATGTAATCCCAGCACTGGGGAGGCCAAAACCAGGAAGATCACTACAGGTTTGAGCTGTGTAGTGAGACTCTGTAACAAATACAAGAAAAGGAAAGGAAAGGAACTGGAAATAAAATTTTGTAGACAGAAGATATGCTGAAGGGAAGAGAGGGGAATGGGAAAAAAGGAATCAAAATATATGATGCATGGTACAAATCCCCAATGAAGAATATGATCATCACATATATCTAGAATAAACCAATAAAAGTTTAAACAAAAGAAGTACCAGCCTGCCACTCATTCCAGACTATTTGACTTAAAATCCAGGGATTAAATCTTTTTGTCTGTGAAATTCAATATTATTCTTAAAAGATACTGTGAAATACACTGACAGTATTGTAATGTATACAAGAAAAAAATTCACATTTTTTTAAGATTACATTTTCATACAGTTATTTCTTCAGACTGAAGCACATATAAATTCTGTGTGCAGTAACTGGTTATGTGTCTTAAACCACTTTGTCATTTCCTGTCCCTCTCATGAAGTATCTTTTGCCCATGGAATAGTCTGCTGAAGAAACTTGGTTAAATATTCTACAGAATTCCCCAGAGTCAGTTTCATATGGTTAACTTATTGATTGTTACACATTATTATAGGTTGGTTATCAAAGTAATTCTGAAAGAAATGGGAACATACTGGAAAGAAATGGGAACATACTGTAAATGAGTACACCAGATGACCAAACTCCCCGTCAGTAATATTGTGAAGACAAAGAACTTGTTAAGAAACTGAAGGGAGACTAAGCACCTGCTTAGGCAAGCACAGGGACCATGGTTCGATCCCCGGCACCACATGCCATGCCAGCCCTGCCCTTGGGCATGCTGAGCAGGCCACGGAGTCCGGATATGGTGGCCCACACTTGTAATCCCAGTACTGGGGAGGCTAAGAACAGAAGGATCTCTGCAAGTCTGAGCTGTGTAGTGAGACCCTGTACCGAATACAGTAAAAAAAAAAAGAAAAGAAACTAAAGGGAGAAAGGCAATTTTGATAGTACTCACCAGTCTTCATTTCTAGTAATCGCTTTTTCTTTTGTTGACGTTCAAGTCTTTCTTTCTCCGCTAATTCTTTAGCTATTCTGGCACGCTTTTCTTTTTCCTCTGCTTCTCTTTTTTTGATGTTCTCCTTTACTGCTTGCTATTATAAATGAATTTTGAAAAATTATCAATTTTAACCAGAGATTCCACATGGACATGGAAAATTATCAATCACATACATTTTAGAAAATGGTTGTTCTTATATTAGTAACAGTCTTTTACAAGAACTATATAAAACTTGTTAAATATATTGCACATCTACAAATACAGTTATATTTAAAACACTTGTGTCTAAGTGGAATTAACTAAAATAGTAAAGGCATACAGAAACTGAAAAAAACATTTAATTCACAAATAAAATCACTAGCATATACTTAAAGCAGAGCATTTTGTAACTGTATTACAGTCTCCCATGCCTCCTGTTATATCAATTATCAAATATAAATAAAACAGAAGAAATTAGAGACAAAAGCTATAATCTTCAGTGCATATTCTGGTCAATAATATCAATTTTTTCATATCAAGGGAAGTTTCAGAAATACAGTTCATATTTGGCATTTTAAAATCTGTGCCTGTAATTGGTAATTAAAACCAACAGTAAACTATAAAACAGAGTTCAATAGATGTGATTAGTTAATTTACTAATTCTCAATTTTATGCAAATAAAGATATGCCCCTCATGTGGAAGTAGTAAGAATTGGCAGACAGACATCTGTAAGTGAATCATATTACAACTGAGGGTTACATTTTATTTAAGTGCCAATAAAACCAGCCAAGTTATCATATTAATTTATCACCAACACCATTAAAAATGTATAATTAACATGTAACTAAGTAACAGGCTGGATTATTGAGGTGCGGAGACATTAATTTCTTCTTTACTGTAGTAATCTCTTTTTAATCCCAGAGGTAGCCCACGTTCCTCACTGAAATCACATAATAAAATGTATTATTATTGGCCCAAACAATGAAAGTATATGGAAAAAAAGAAACATAAAGCATAGATGATATAGAACAATAACCATGTAATCTACCCATTCAATACATATACAAAGAAAAAATATAGTAAGAGAGACAGACACAGATATGGGATGCACCAGGGGGAAGACAGACAATAAACAAAAATTTGATGTGTTATCTTCAAAACTGGGTCTGACAGACTACCCAGTGGTTTACTTTGCTTTAGGTGGTCAGCTATGGCTTTATTCTGTGATTTGAATACAACTTAATTTAAATATCAAGCTGACACTAGAGGCTGATCAGGTGACAAAAATCCAGACATAGGAAAGTGGTAATGTGAAGCAATGGAACAGGCAGTATAAGGGTATGAGGCCAGGAATGGAAGCTCAGGCCTGAATATTTAGTATATTTTAGGATGAGACAGAGACAGTGAATTTTTTTAAAAGGTATTTGAGAGCATTTGGAAATTTTTCAATCAGGAAAATACATGAGTAAACACTTAGCATACAATCATGAAGCGAGGCAGGCTGCAAACTTATCTTTACAAATGTTACCTGGCCTTGTCTGTTTTCTTTTATTACCTTTTTAAAAAGACATTTACATAGAGAGAGAATAGCAATAATTGATAGGATATTAGCAGTATGCATTTACAAGACCAGAATGACAGGCATTCCAAGCATGGCCCCAGTATTACACATTGCTATCCTTAGTGCAGGTGCTTAGTTCACAGATGTCAGTATATATAGTTAATGAGGGTAAGAATCCTACCAATTAACTGCTAGTTTCAAAAACCTGATGTAGATTCTCAGCACCACTGCCTCAACAATCTTATGTATATAAATGTATGGTTTTGCCTCTGCCATGTTTCTTAGTTTTTCTCTTTGCCCTTTCTCTGTTGTTTAATCCTTAAGTTCTTGCTTTCCAGTTAATTGTGTTATACCTTTCAATTTTTATTTCTTCTTTTGGATTCTTACATTAGAGAGACTATACAATATTTACACATGCGGGTCTAGTTTATTTCACTCATGAGTACATCTTCAAGTGGCATCAACTTATATGAAGGCTTAGATTTTATCATTCTTTATAGCTCAGTAATACTCCATTGTATAAAAACAGCACACCTTTTTCATACATTCCTCAGGTGACAGCCATTTTGGTTGCTTCCAAGATTTGACTATCACAAATTGTGCTGCTATAAACATAGGTGCACATATATTACTATGCTATGATATTTTCAGTTCTTTTGGGAAAATTCCCAGTAGGGGGATAGCTGGATTGAATGGAATTCCCAGCCCTAGTTTTTTAAGGAGTTTCCACACTGATTTCCATAGCGCGTGAACGAGTATACATTCCCACCAGCAGTGGAAAAGGGTTCCTTTTTCTCCACAGCCTCTCCAACATTTGTTCTTAGTTGATTTCTTTTTGATAGCCATTGTTTCTGGGGTGAGACACTATCTCAATGTTGTTTTAATTCGCATTTCACAGATGGCTAGTGATGTGGAGCATATTTTCATGCATTTATTAGCTTCTAAAATGTCTTCTTCCTCTGTGAAGTGTTTATTCATCTCAGATGCCCATTTCTGGATTGGGTCTTTAAATTGTGGGGCTCTAATGCTTTTTAGTTCTTTATGAATTCTAGAGAGAAGACCCTTGTCTGAATGCTTATTAGTTAAGATTTTTTCCAAATTTGTGGGTTGTCTTTTCACTCTGTTGGAAATTTCTATTGACGTGCAAAATCTTCTCAATAAAAGGAGGTCCCAGTTGTTAATTATTTCAGGTATTATCCATGCCGTTTGATTTTTGTTCATGAACTGACTATCCTGCTACAATGTTGCATATGGTTAGCTTTCTAAGTTTCCATGAAAAAAATGTGTAATTGTTTATTTATTTATGTATTTATTATTTTTTTCACATTCAGTAGGGATTTATGGTTTAGCATATCAAAGATTGTTGGAAAATATCTGTTCCATGTTATGTCTAAGGCATTTGCTATTCAGAGAGATAGTGATGTTAAACTCAATTGCATATGTTGTAGGGTAATACTTTCATTAAGCTTCTCTTCTGGAGGGTTAACAACCTAAGTTTGAGACCAAAAATTAGAGAAAAAAAAGGGCTGCAAGGACAGCCAACAGTTTGGCCATTGCCTTTCCATGTCAGTGCAGACTCAAGACATAGGAGAACCTGTACTGTAACATGTAACTCAGTTGTGTCCCAAATGTTCTGATCAAGGAGATTATGGGGCCACAGACGAAAGTGATCAATGATGTAGAGTGTGCCTAAGGAGAGTCACATGGAGAGAAAACATTTTCTCAGGCTTTCACAGAGAGCACATTTGTCAAGCAATGGCTGTGACTCATCCACATAACTGACACTGACAAAGGATCTGCAAACTGCAGTACAGGGTTTTAGGATAAATCCTGAGGGGATTTGACTGATCTTGGCAGATACAAAAGTTACATTTTTAGTTATATAGGTCTTGCTTTATCTTGGTCTTCACCATCCAGCAGAAAAGTATAAAAACAAGGTATAAAAAGTAAAGCCATATTAATATGCTGAGCTGTAAAAGGCTCAAATCAATAATTTCTTACAACTGCCAGTCCTGAGGATAACCCACTACTATTATGGTCTACTGGACTATATTGCATTATTTTGCTGAATACACACACCTACAATATTTAAATGGCTATGGAATATCCATCTCTGACAAAACTAAACAAAAAAGGGGCATATAAATGAAGGACCATTTTGTAGTGGAAAATATATACATGTATCTGTATAAACAAAGTAAGACAGACATACAGCTACTTTCCCTTAGTTCAATGAGAAGATTTGTACTAATACTGTTTAGACAAGATATTATGTCTGCATCTAGTACTATGAATAATTACTATGAAGACAACAATATGTCATGTATTAATTATTGTAACTGTCCTACTAACGTGTTTTGAAATTGTCTCATTGCTATTTCTTTCTCAATAGAATTAATTAAAAAAATATTTCCTGGCCTTCACAATTCCTTGGGCAATGAAGGAAGACTCAGGAACCTAAAAAGGATGTTTTTACTGTGGCTAGTAGAGTTGCCATAAATAATAAACCATTTTTTGTCTCTGACTCACAGACTTGTATCTTCAGCCAACATACATGAAAATGTGCCTGGAAGCCTAATCTGTTAGCTTAATCTGTAGGTAAACTTTCAAACTCTTGACAGTTCTTGACACTATTACTTTATTATTAAGCTATGAAATACTAGCTGTGATGCTTGAAACTTTCAAGAGCAATCATTTTGAAGCTGAAACTACACTCTGTGTTGTCCATTCTGTCACCAAAGGATTAAGCATATGTTTGCTGTAATGTCCATAATAACTAAGGTGCTAAGCTGCAAGGCATGAAAGCTGTCTGCAGTCAGTGTTTTTCCACCATGTTCTTTCATGTATGTTAACAGCCTGCTGTGAGACAGCGGCTGCTATATAAATCAGTCTATGGTAGGAAGGTAGAAGGAGACATCAGTAAGTAGAAAATAAACATGAGTTCAAACACAGATACGTAATTATGCTGGTGTGTGTATCAACATATGTATAAGGAAAAAGGACAAAAAGAAAAGGAAAACAGGACAGAAAGAGGGTAAGAGGGTAAGGTGATGGACAAAACCTAAGTAAATATTCAGGAGTCAAAATTTACATCTTGCAACACATAAATATCACATTGATTGTTTATGAGTCCTATTAATTTTCTAGAGCAAGTTTTTCAGAATAATAAATGGATACATTTCAGTGTGAACATTCAATAGACCATCTATTATCAGGTATAACTGCCACACCCTTTTAGAATCCCCTGGGTAATGAAAAGTCAAAATTACTTTCCAGGATCTATAAAATAGTGTTTATGTTTAGAAATAAGGTCTGAAGTACTTATTTTGTTTTAGGGAAAATGTCGTATTGATTTTCATTTTATAGTCTACCTCATTTAAAGCTTATCTTATTCTGACATTATAACCATTAGGAGAGGAACTTATCTGGAAAAATGCCAATAGATAGCATAAAAGTAGGATCTGAGCTGCAACTAATAATCCAGTTCAAACAATAGTAATTTGAGGTTTTCTTTGATGTTAAAATGTTAAAAAGTAAAAATATACTAAACTGA